AATTGTAGCAAATAGACCGAAAAACTTATTATTGAATCCCAGAGTATGTACACTGATTATACATGTGAGAAGATGATCAAATCTCCAAGAAATCAGGAGATGGAATCAGGAGAGGATATTCGGGAATAGGATATCTACAAAATCCCTATTTTTACTCCTCACAGTATCCCCTTTATTAATAAATAATATTTACATTAAATATAGGTCAACCACCACTCCCCCTCAAGTTGGATCATAGATGCTAATCATGTCCAATTGCTTATACAACTATCAAATGCTGGCTTGTGTAATCCTTTGGTGAGTACATCAGCAGCTTGAAGCTTTGTTGGTATGTAGACAAGGCACACAATTCCTTCTTCAACCTTTTCCCTTATAAAATGTCTATCAATCTCCACATGTTTGGATCTTTCGTGTTGAACTGGATTTAGCGCCATACTTATGGCAGCCTTGTTGTCACAGTACAACTTCAGTGGAAGATCAGTCTTGACGTATATCTCATCTAGTACTCGCCTTACCCATAGTACCTCTGATATACCTTGGGCCAACGCCCTTAGTTCTGATTCTGCACTACTCCTTGAGACCACTCTTTGCTTTTGACTCTTCCATGAAACTAGGTTTCCCCATACACATGAGCAGTAGCCTGACGTTGATCTCTATCCTTGTATGTTCCTCCCCAATCTGCATCTGTGTAGATTTCTATTGATCGTAGACTTTGCTTCTTGAACAATAATCCTTTACCTGGTGTCCCCTTCAAGTACCTTAGGATTCTGTATACAGCTTCCATATGCCTTTCTCTAGGGTCACACATATACTGGCTTGCCACACTTACTGCAAAAGTTATGTCTGGTCGAGTATGAGAGAGATAAATCAGTTTCCCAACTAGCTTCTGGTATCTTTCTTTTTCCACAGGCTCATTCTTCTCTCCTTCTTCTTCACAATCATTTTCCTCAGGTTCAACTTCATCTTCTTGATTTTCCATATCTTTTATTAATTTCTTCCCCTTCTTCTTCACAACAATAGGGGTCTCTACAGGTTTACATCCCAACATTCCTGTTTCAGTAAGCAAGTCGAGAACATATTTTCTTTGAGACATATAAATCCCTTTTTGTGATCTTGCAACCTCCATGCCCAGAAAGTATTTCAAGTTACCAAGATCCTTCACTTCAAATTCCTTTCCAAGAGCCTTCTTTACTCTATCTACCTCTTCCTCATAGTCACCTGTGACAATTATATCATCAACATATACAATGAGAATACACCTCTTACCACCTTCCATTTTTACAAACATTGTGTGATCAGACAATCCCTGCTTATATCCTTCATTCTTCAAGACTTCCGAGAATCTGTCAAACCAAGCCCGCGGTGATTGTTTTAGGCCATACAAGGATTTCTTAAGCTTACACACTTGATTGTTCTTTCCCGCCTCAAAACCTGGAGGTAGTGTCATGAAGACTTCTTCCTTAAGGTCACCATTTAGGAAGGCGTTTTTAATATCTAGCTGCTGGAGAGGCCAATCCAGATTTACAGCCACAGAGATTAGGATTCTGATAGTATTAAGCTTGGCTACAGGGGCAAAAGTTTCTTTGTAGTCCAAGCCATATGTTTGGGTGAACCCTTTTGCCACTAACCGTGCCTTTAATCTGTCCAACTTACCAGCAGCATCATATTTTGGGGTGAACACCCACTTGCAGCCCACAACCCTCTTCCCTTTTGGTAGCTCTACAACTTCCCATGTGCCATTTTTTGTTAAAGCATTCATCTCCTCTATCACAGCATTCTTCCAATCTGGTATGCTAAGGGCCTCATATACATCATTGGGAATCTTCACTTTATCAAGGTTAGTTACAAAAGTGCGGAATTGTGAGGATAGAGTCTGATAGCTCACAAACCTTTGGATGGGGTGCTGTGTACAAGTTCTGGGTTGTTTTCTGAGGGCTATCGGTAAGTCTGTCTCCGCTTTCCCAGCTTCAGGAGCCTCTTGTGGTTCGAATTCTGGTTGTGCTTCAGGTATAACAGTCTCCCTTTCTCGCCATTTCTTCCTAGAGTAGACTATGGGTGTCTTTTCCAGTGCATTTCCAGCAATTTCAGTGCAATCTGAAAGACTTTTTACTTCAGTTTCTGGCCTAGGAGATTGGACCCTGAATTCGGTGGACTGTGGGTTTAAGAGTTCAGACTCTATTTGAGGGTTTGTTGGTGCAAGAATGAAGGGATCAGAATCATGAATGGTGGTGATTTCTTTACCCCTTTGCCTCTCACTTTCACTTTCCAAAAACTGAAAGTCACTCCCCCTCTCCCCCTGACTTGAAGTGTTTGGGTAAAAGGACTCATGCTCAACAAAGCTAACGTCTCGGCTTATGTAAAGTTTCTTGGTATGAGGATCAAAGCATTTATACCCTTTTTGTGTAGAGGAATAACCAAGAAAGATACATTTGATGGCTTTAGGGTCCAGCTTTTGGGAGTGATGGGAGTGAACATAAGTGGAACAACCAAAAATTTTAAGTGGTAGGTTGGTGTCAAGATGAGTAATGGAGTGAGATTCTTTTAATTTCTCAAGAGGTGTGGTAAATGAGAGGACACGACTTGGCATGCGGTTGATTAAATATGTAGCGGTAAGAATTGCATCTCCCCAGAAATATTTGGGAACGTTATAAGTGAAGAGCAAGGCACGTGCAACTTCTAAGAGGTGTTTGTTTTTTCCGTTCCGCAATACCATTTTGTTGGGGAGTGTTAGGACAGGTACTTTTATGGACAATTCCATGTTCTGTGAGGAACATATCCATGGTTTTATTAAAGTATTCAGTGCCATTGTCAGTATGGAGGACTTGGATTGTGGTGTCAAACTGGTTTTTTACCATTGTATAAAATTGAGAAAAGACAGAGGGCACAGCAGATTTATCTTGTAATAGGTAGACCCAACACATTCTAGTATGGTCATCAATAAATGTAATGAACCATTTAGTATTTGTACGATTAGCAATACGAGTAGGACCCCATAAGTCACTATGAATAATGGAAAAAGGACGGGTAGATTTATATTCAACAGGTTTGAACACAGATCTGTGATGTTTAGCAAGTTCACACTCAGCACAGTGAAATGAAGAAATTTTATTAACTTGAAATTCAGGAAACAAACGACATAAGTATTGAAAATTTGGATGACCCATTCTCCTATGCCATAACATAAGATCATTAAAGTCTTTATTTGCAATGTGACACTGGATTCGAGACCAAAGACTACTCACGGTTGATTCATCGAGATAGTAGAGACCGTTATGCTCCTTAGCACTGCCAATCATCTTCCCCGATAAGAGGTCCTGAAAAATACAATGAGTAGAACAGAAATGAGCCCAGCAATTTGCCTCTTTAGTCAACTTACTTATAGACAATAAGTTACAAGCCAAGTAAGGTACATGTAAAACATGATTCAGTCTCATGACTTTAGAAATAACCACACTTCCTGTTCCTGCTATTGACGAGGAAGATCCATTAGCTGTACTTACTGTTTCATTCCCAGCGCTAGGAATATAGGTATTGAATAGTTTAACATTTGAGGTCATATGATCAGTTGCCCCAGTATCAACAATCCATTTGGGGTTACTATTAGAAGTAAGTAAGGCACATTTACCTTTGTGGGCCACAGATGCAGTAGGATTCAGTTTCTGGTTTTTCTCATTCTTCTGCAACACACTAAGCATCTCAAGTAGCTTACCTAGTTGCTCCTTATCAATTTCAGGTATTGAGTCTGGTTTATCTGGCGGTACATCATGAGAAGTTTGATAACTTCGTTGCTTGCCCTTTTTCGGCTTCCAATCGGCTGGCTTTCCATGTATATCCCAACAAGTGTCACGGGTATGCCCAATCTTCTTGCAATGTTCACAAGTGACCTTCCCCTTTTGGTTCTTATGATTTGAATCACTGCCCTTGCTCACAAGTGCAGCAGTGTCCAAGGAAGAAGTTGGTGCAGAAATAGCTCCAGGAGTCATTACCTTGCGTCTTGAAGCCTCTCGACGTACCTCTGAGAATACTTCTCTAGTGGATGGAAGTGGCATACGGCTCAGAACGCGCCCCCGTACATCATCTAGAGATTGATTCAGTCCTGCAAGAAACTGAAACACCCGTTCATTCTCGACTTGCTCCTTATAACGGATTGCATCATTACTGCTAGACCATTCCACTTCTGTCATCAAGTCTAATTCCTGCCAGATGGTATTCAGCTCCAGCCAGAAAGCCGTGACATCACGTTCTCCCTGCTGCAGTGACCATGCTTTTGTTTTAAGCTCATATATTCGCGCCAAATCCTTCCCATCAGAGTATGAATCTCGCACAGCTTTCCAGATTTCATGAGCTGATGGAAGAAATATGAAGCTCTGTTGAATTTCCGGAATCATGGCATTGATCAGCCACGATGATACCAACGAATTTTCGGTATGCCATCGCTGTAGCTCCTGCGTTCTGGACTCTTCTGGAATTTTTGATGAGCCATCGAGGTAACCCATCTTCCCTCGGCCTCCAATCGCAAGTCGCATAGCCTGTGCCCATACCCGATAATTCGAGCCATTGAGTTTCATGGTAACCACGAGCACCGATGATCCGTCATGACCAGTGATCGACCCGAGGGGACTACCGGCCTTATCTGGATCGATTTGCGAGGACCCATCACTCTTCGACATTGGAGAAGTGTGAATCGGGTGCAACTCTTGTGTCTCGTCTTCGGTGCTTTCTGTCTCAGAGTTTTCGGCGTCGATATCTGCTAGTTGCTCTGATACCATGTAGCAAATAGACCGAAAAACTCTTATTATTGAATCCCAGAGTATGTACACTGATTTATACATGTGAGAAGATGATCAAATCTCCAAGAAATCAGGAGATGGAATCAGGAGAGGATATTCGGGAATAGGATATCTACAAAATCCCTATTTTTACTCCTCACAGTATCCCCTTTATTAATAAATAATATTTACATTAAATATAGGTCAACCACAATAAGAAACCCTCCTAAAGATAAGTTTGAGACAGCACCATCAAAAGCGCTAAAACACTAGATGTTAACTCTAGATAAAACAAAAGTCCAAAACAAAATCCTGGAGGAAGTAGAATATCAGTAATCAATGGTAAAGTAATAATCAGCAAAACCACGATATACAAAATGGTTCTCACAATATAAGGAACTGGCGCATCAAGAAAATCAAACATTCCCGCAGGTAAAACCTGAAAAACAAGGTACATAGCTTTAGAAAGACGTGATTGTGCCACCAGGGATATCTAAAATGGGGCCTTGTTGAATGCTAATGAACTCACAGGTAAAAATAAACTCTGCCACTGAAATGGACGAATCATAGGAACAAGAGATAGTACTGAAGCAGATAGAATACCCTGCATCATTTCAAAATAGCCTAAATGAATGGAAAATTTTAATATAACATCTGTAAGAATCCAGATTGGTTGGTGGATACAAATAATTGTTGAGCTCTAGCATATAACATTGTTAAGTAAATCAATGACCATAAATTTGTATGACTGTTTCAATGACTTACCAGATTTGGACAAGCTAAAATCACCTGCTTTTCCAATAACACTCCAGTAACTAAACTCAGCACCTGGCAGTAACATTATGTATCAAAATTTAAACCAATCATGATACAATTAAGTTATCTGCACTAGTTGCAACAAGTGGTATGTGAAAAAAATCACCAACAGGAAGTGAAGTAAGTTGCAGAATTTAATTATTACTTTTAAAAAAATGAAAGATAATCCTTCACTTGCCAAAGGTTTGGATGCACGTAACCAACATGTCTTTGTCTATTCCAACAGTAGAGTCAACGTTCAGTGGTACCATTTCTTTTTGCAAGTCTTCTCTTTTTCCTCATTATAGTTTTTTTCAAAATATAAAACAAGAAGATCCTGCTTACGTGAAAGCATAGGCAGAAAAGAAATAACAGCTCATGTATGTTCTCTGGGAACTACTTAATTGGAAGTTTTTTTTTTGCTTTAATTATATTTTTTCTTTTATCATTAGTTTGGATGAATAATATAAGAACATTTCAAGCATGCTTCCTCAGCAGGAAGTTTTCAATTTATTAATAAAAAATAAGCAATATATATATTTCTGCAGGTTAAAACAGTGAACTAGGAAGCAGAATAGCATAACTGAGACTGAAAGTTTCCTAGAACCTTAAGCTGGTAGGAAGTGGGCCCATGATTATATCAAACTACAACTTAAAATTGCAACTCAAACACAAGTCCAACTTGTGGCCCTGAACCAATGACAGAGTTGCAATGAATTGCATAAAACAAAAATTCTAAGCGCTCAAAATGAATCTGACAGGCAGCAAAACAGTGTGGTATTAATCCTCACAAATTATAGTTATGGATCAGAGTACGGAAGGTATGAGCTATGCTTCAACAAAAAAAATGTTGTTTATCATTATAACTACAAGAAACAGACTGCAGAGAAACAGAAAGTAAAGCAAACACACAAAAGAAACAAAATTTAAAGGTCTGTTCCTTCAATTTAATAACATTCTCAACCAATGGCATGAAAGACCTGTTTAAAAGACTTATTGCTGCAAATGAGATTGTTTTTGAAAACATATTTTATAAAGAACTATTGACGACATCAATCTCATACAAGAAACTTGGGTATAATTTATGCTTACAGTATTAAGGGACAAAACACGACAAGTAGTTGCAGTTGTCCATATTGATAATGCAAGAGCTTCCTCAGCAGCAGCCAACTTTGCATTGACCTTCTACCAAGTGTAGTGAGTGAGCCAATTGTAGAGAAGATTTCTGTAAACTACTAACTACATCTCCAGAATTACCTGAGCAGATTCCAAGAAATTAAAATAATGTCCATGAAAACCAAGAGCAGCAACTGAAGCCCGTCTATAGCCAATGGCCTGAAGATGCTCAAGAGGGTGAAAAATAAATTCACTTCCTCGAGCAGGAATAGATAGAGCATGATATCCACACACTATCTGTAGCAAATCATTCTTAGTCTCCTATCAAAATCATTCAGAACAAACGAAAAAGAAAAAAATTAAGCATCAATCAAGTATCAATTTAGCTAAATCAGTGGGAAAAAAGGGTGAACCATTTAATACTAACCCTAGCCCATTCCATTAAGAATTCATTCCCGTAATCTTTCTCAGTATTTGCAAAAAAATCACCCTCATCATCTGATGTCATGCTCCTTCCTGGACTGCCAATTATAACGTTATGTTATTGAAGTTGAATGGAAAGCCCACATGCATAAGAATTAGGATAATAATGAAAAAAGTAAAGGCTATGAACAAACTATAATAGATTTGAAAAATGGGTTAAAGTGCATTTTTGTCCTTCTACTTTCTTTCGAGGAACATTGGACACCCTATACTAATAAGTGGGGTATTTTTTCCCCTAAACCATTTTTTAGAGGAGCAAAAAACCCCCTCCATTAACGAATCACCAACGAAGGGGCATTTTTGCTCTCCTGGAAAATGGTTTAAGGAGAAAAATACCCCACTTATTAGTATAGTATGCCTAATGTTTCTCAAAGGAAAGTACGGGGGGAAATGCATTTGTTTCTTTTGGCTGCATTCCTCCCTCTGTTTCCTGCTCTGTTTGTTTCTTCTCGTCTTCTTCTTTTTCCTATGGTCCAGCGTCCTTCTCCTCTACTTTCACCCCTGATTTCTTTGCTTCATTGTGCATCTTCTCTTTGTTCTCTTTTCTTAACTCTTCCTTCATTCTTCCTTTTTCTTCCCAAACGTTTGAAGTGTTTGTCATGATATCTAGATGCCTACTACACTTCTCTAGCAACTCCTTCATCATTAATATTGTATGTTCATCCAGAGCCATTGTCATCTCCTCCCAAGATTGCACTGCTCTGATACCAAATGATAGAACCCTCTATCCTAATAAGCTCAAAAAAGCAAAAAAAAAAACGAAAAATGACTGAAAATACTATTTTTGAATAATAAAAAAGAAGGATTACAAGGAAGATAAGGATTCAAGCTAATCCCAACTCCCTCATACACCCAGAGTAAAGTTAGAGCACAAGCATCAGTACAAAATACACACCATAAAACAATAACCTAGAACATAAGTCACTCACTACACACACTAAACCATAGAGAGAAAATGATAAAGCAAGAAGATCTTCCTCCACCCCAATACACTAGACTTTCGGGAGGCTAGTACTCTCCCAAACTCATTTCACTTTTCAAAAGATTAAACTCCCTCTCTTGGCTGAATTGGAGAACTTCTAACCCAAAAGGTTCAAAATCACTGCCCCTACTCCCTACTCCTATGTCACTTCTTTTCCCTTTTGACCAGGACCCATAGCGGTCTGTTTGGTTCGAGGGGAGGGAAAATTTTAAAAATTTCTCCTCCCCTCCTCCTAACCAAATGAGGGGAGGGGAGGAGAGGGCTCCCCTCCCCCCCAACCAAACAGGGCCATAGTGTAATCTTTTGACTCAGCAGTTTTTGTTTTGCCCTCTTCTATCATTTTCTTTGAAATTTGCTCCCATAGGTCTTAGCAACTTTAGCAGCTATAAAGTTCATGCCAACAGAATGATTTTCAAATTACAAGATAAACAAGGATTAGAATCATCCCTCAGCACAGACATTGAAGAAAAACATAGAGACAACAATCTGCAAAGGTTAAAATTGTAATCTAGCTTTATTACAAAACTATCAATCTACCTTTTGAAAAGTGACTCAGAACTCCCTGTACGCTCCAATACAGGACCTCGATAAGATAAAGGTGTTCCAAACTCTGGAGAAATATGGCCATTTTCACAGTTTTCATATGTCCTTTCTGAAGCATCTGGATGGGTTTCTGGTGTCCCAAAAGTACAGTCATCATGATCATGTAGATTCTTCTTGCTATCTCGGGAAAAATCTGAAGCTTCACTGCCAGTCAGACTAACAGGGGACTGAGGATCCCATTTGGGTGAGAAGCGCTGGATCTCATCATCACTTATAATTCCTGCAGCAGCAGCAGTGATAGCTGCTACATCACCAACAGGTATTGCACAAGCCATCCAATCACTAAAACACTCCCTCTCTTGGGTATCAATATGTGAACTCGTTTGATCATCTGGTTTAGGTCTTAATGTAAAGGAACCTGTGAGACTCATATCACTTACAAACTGTGTTATTCGATTTAGACGCTCCTGTGCAGTGAGACTGCGTCCAAGTAAGACATAATGAATTCTATTGGATCTATCAAAAACCAAATTTTCACAGTTTAATCTTTGACTAGAAACATGAGTCAGTATGCCAACCTGTTCAACATCTCAAAATGTAACTCAAAGAAAGGAACTCTAGTGAGCAGACAGTAACAACGAGGTGCTGAAACTAGAACATGACTGCATGCTGCAGAAGGTGGAGACTGGGGAGATGAAACGCCTAAGATACCAGGAGGACGTTGAACAATTTCAGGCACATGTAAGCAAACTCCATAAAGTGTTGCACTGTCAGCTGCCTGATCAAGGCATGAACGTATAAATTTGTTTCAGCAACCAGCTATCTTTGCTTCTCAGTCAATGTATTGTAGTATAAGAAATAGCATTTAAAAAAAAAACAAGAATGAAAAAATGGTCAACAGCTAGAGTTGAAAATTTGGAAGCTCAACAGCCTTGAACACATCCAAACACATGCCAATCAACATAGATAATTAGATATCTATAAGTGCATAAAATTGCAACATATTTCCACAAAAAGTCAACCGCTATAGTTTTTTTAAAACCATCCAACAACTAGAGTTGAAAAACTCAAAATATTGTGATCACTCCATTGCATACGCTTTTCTATTATGTGATTCTTAAACACATATTTGGACTTTCTTTAACCAGACAGTTTAGCTTCCAAAGTTTGAATGCCCCATGCCACTCCTTAACAGAAGATTTGCACAAGTCTAGGCTCCATCTATCATTTAAGTCTAACAGGCTTGTGGATGAGAGTGTATGTCACCAATTACATCTTATTCTTAGTTCTCACTTATCGCTTAAACTGTGACATCAAGAAATTTTGACAGTTGAATTGTTCTGAACAGTTTAGATAATTTCAGGCCAAAAAAAACAAAAGAACAAGGTTTACCCTTTTAAACAAAAAAGTTTAGATAATTGTGCTTACAACTCTCATCTTATAATATTACTCTTCATCCCTCCCAACCACCAATGCCCCCCAAAAAAATCGAAAAGAGGATATGTGCATACACAGACACTGGGACACAGATTGTTGAACAGCATGCCCTTGCATGAGTGAACCAGGCACAGTAAGACAAAATATCAAATTGTCCATAGACACGATAACACCAATAGATGAATGCACAAGTTACCTTGACTGAGAAAATAAAAGACAAATCATCTCTGCCTAAATGCTCCTGCAGAGAATAAATAAAAAATGAAAATATGGATTTTTTGGTTAAAGGTGCTCAGAGCTTAAAACAAGTTTGATTATGTGATAAGAATGAGAACTAATAGCTGTGAGTCACAAAGATGAGATAGATCCATTTACAGACTAACTGCAGGATGAAAGAATCTTTCAACAATAAAGTGGTGATACAAATAAAGTGACAGAATTGTTATCAATAATTTCTCATCTCTTTGGACACATTTATTCACCGTGGAGAAATGAAAAGTGGAAAAAGAAGACATTAAAGAGAGATAAAAGAATTTAGAGCACCTCAATATTTCTCTACATACGTATGCCTTAATCAGTACTTGGTCTAAGCAGTGAATAATGCTCAATGCAACATGTTAAAAACTAGATTTCACAAATCAAAGATTCTTATTTTTTTTCCTCAACTGGTTTGTGAAAGAGCATGAATATATATGTTCCCAAAAGCTAGTCCAAGATCATTGCAGCATACCTGTCCATAGACAAGTTCATTTAGCTCACTAAGAGATGGGGTCCTCTCCAAAACCCATGCCTGTTTATACAATATCTCTATAAATTAAACTGAGGCAGCAAACAACACACACACACACACACCCACACACAAAACACCACCAGTAGAAGGAGAAGGACATCAGCATATATAACAACATCAAGCAACATTAATCATGAAAGAATAAAGCAACACTTTCTTCTTCAAGCCAAAAAGATTTATGAGATGGCCAGTGCAGGTGTTATATGGACCAATAAGAAAAGTACTGATATCCAATATACATACAATATTTTGAAAATCATAAAATCCCCGTCATGAAAATCTATGTACAATTGAAAGTATGCCAAAAGGGGGGCCAATAAATTCAATGCAGCATAGAAGGGACAAGATAAGGACAATCTTTCCATATAAAGAGCTTTCATATTTTTCAACATGCACTGTTTGCTACATATGTTTATGGCTAAACAGTTTACAACTAAATTAAAAAAACAGTATTTTCTCCTTTCTGCATCTACAGTATAAACATTCTACATCCATTGTCTCCCTCAATAAGGAAAAAAATTGCAAGCACAATTAAAAGGGCACAAAACCGACCCCACCTAGTGGGATAAAGCGTGTTCTTATTGTTGTTGTTGATTAAAAGGGCATCAAACATCAATGCTGAAACCATACAATTGTGATCCTGGCGAGTGGAGAAGATGGGGATGACCACAGGTCATTTAAAAGCTTGTGTACTCTAGGTTATCTAGAAAGAAGTGTAAGAAGAATATAGAATTTGATCTTATTTCTGAAGCTTCCTTGTGCATACAATCAAACAAGTATATAATAACATTTTAGGCTTTTCCTGAAAATCATTCTTATAATTTAAACCAATAAAATGGAGGAAAGGTGATTGTGCAAATAAAAACACAGGGAAGTTGTCTCAATGCATACTTTTATTTATTTGTGAGGTTTATTGTAAACCACATAATGGTCGGCAAAATTCTTTTTTAGACTTTTAATGTTTAGTACATTTATGCGATTATTTATTCTAGGAAAAGAAAAATGTTACCTCATGTACTAGCAGCACAGATACCAAATCTCAGAAGAAAAGAAGAAAGATTGCAAATGCAAGGATACTGAACAAGAAATATGGCAGAAAGAACAAAGGCATCTTTGGATGTATACTAAAACACACACACACATTTGATAGGGATTAAAGTAAGTAAAGATAGCATCAAGCAGACCTTAACACCTTCAGGAAAGCAGAAGGAGGCTAAATCCTTCTTACGCATTGGTAGCCTCTTCCCGGGAGGATATTTGAAAAGTAACTGCACATATATAAATAGATATTGATCATGAAGAACCTATTGTTCTATAGTAATACACAGAATTGTCGTTACAAAAAAATACACCAAATGGTAACCAAAACAAGGGAAGAAATGAATTTCTTAAAGTCTATGTTGCTAAAAAATCTAGCCATTAAATTGACTGTTTGCACAGTTGATATATGCACCATCAAAGAAAGAAAACATGCAACATTCCAAAATTCCAAAATCTTTAGCCTAAGAATTCATCAACAGAAAATCATGATTGCTAGATAACATATAACACAATGCATTTTAAGTTTTTCTTCTTATAAAACCATCTGGGTTGTAGTTCATATATTTTAGTAAAAGCATATGGAATGTGGGTTAACGTGGGCTGTCGTTGATGGCAGTTCTATAGATGCAAAAAAATTAATATCCAATGAACCTGAGGCTCCAAAGTTGGTGCTGCTGGCCCCTGTTGCCGCAACGTTTTGGAGTCTACAAATTCAGATTTTGCTATATCTTTTCCCCATTTCTTCCTTTCTACAAATGCTTCCTCCACGGCTTCCAAATTAGCTTCTGGAAGCAGCCCCACAATCACAAAATTTTCGAAGAGCGAGGTTGGCTCCTTATAATTTACACACTCCTACAATAATATCCACAGTGACTTCAACAAACTAAGAAGTTTATGTTTTGGGTGAATGCATTGAAGCAACACAAGTAGAGGAAGCACTTTCAACATGTGTTCTCGCATTTAATCATTATTCACAGTCCCAAAATGACATGCTAATGTGTAAGATCAACCTAGGAAACTAAAATAATCACCTATTTAAAGGGGCAGGGAACTTGAACCAGTTTTTCTTCAACGGCGAGCATTCAACTTTTAATGTTAAGATGAAGAATTCCTAGGATATATAAAGAAACTAAAAAGGAATGAGATTTGAAGGCCAAACATGATAAGCTTGTTGTAATACAAATTATTAACACTGCAACGTCATCCTGTATGAATACTGTTACTTGCAAAGAAAACAGTTATGATTATCAGAAACTAAAATCACATATGAACACCAATGGTCAGCTAAATAGAATTGAGTACCATAGCTTTGGAATGAAGCTGATACCACAGGCGTTTTTGGTTTGCCAGGTCCTCAGGGTTGAAAGTCGACGAGAAACCATCTTCACGGGATTTGCCACCCCACCGCCAGGCCTTCTGCACATGAGATTTCAACTTTCGAAAGCTATCACTACGACGGAATCCTGCAATCACAGTTTCGCTGTGGCTACGTCTATGTGAAGGAGACTCCATAGGCGGAACGCTTGACACATTAGAGTACACAGTGTTCGATGTTTCGCCAGCAGCTCTGGTACCCTCCCCAGGCATTTGCTTGAGCGTCGATGCTGACGACAAGGCCCAATCCTCATGAGGTTCAGCGTCTTCTTTTGCGTCCATATTTTCACACTAGGCTCATTTTTTGAAGTTTCGGGCTTTCAGTTCGGCAAGCAATTGAAGCTTCCGTTTGCACCATTGCTTTAACTTAATTTCAAAACCACCACAAAATTGGATTATTCCATCAGATACGGATTTAAATTGGTGGACCCAGATGAAATGTATCTCCAAAATTAATATCGCGGGGCTCTCTTAGGCCATTGATGATCCTCGTTTATCACAGGTGGCAAACCGGGCTCTCAATAACGTTTTGCATGCTTTTACGATCAAGGAATCTTGCAATGCTCGGCCGAAAGAACCCTCGAGTCTTTACAGATTTTGCTTTCGGTTCTTAAACGAACAAGGGAAAAATGGAATTGCCAAGTTCTTAACTCAAGGCAAAACAACGCCCCGAGAAAGTAAAAGAGCCAGACCGAGCAATAAAACTCCTAATAGCTTTCGATTCTTTACAACGTGCAAACGGCGTAATTACTTGTAACGCAAACGAAACCCAATAAATGCATAAAGCAAATAGGGCATGATTTGAAAGATGGACAAAGGAGATAAATGAGACAGGACGGATAATATCGCCGTTTACCGAGAAGGAGAAGGAAAAAAAAAAAACGCCGCGATCTTGTAAAGTACCTCTAATTTTCTGGTTTCGAAGGCTTGGTCCTTTGGAGATGGAAGAAAGGAGAACGTGACAGAAAGTTTCTAAATGTAGAAGTGGGTTATAGAATTAATGGATGAAGAGAAGGTTAGAGCAGAGAGGAATGGAGGGCGAGGTTTCAATCCTGAACAAAGAAGTTGGCAAAAAACAAAGAGAGCAAATTACATTCAAGATCCACGCAAAAATTTAACTACTATAAAATTTATTAATAACAAAATTAAAATGAATAGTCAGTAATTTTATAAAAAAATGAAAATAAAATCTATTTAAAATAAATAAATAATAATTAAATCTTTTAAAATATTATAATTTTATTAAAATTTTAAAAAAATTTATATTATTAATAAATTTATATAAATTATTAAATTATTCTTATTAAAAATAAATGATTCACAATTTTTTTTTATACTTATAATATTACATTCGAGGCAATATAATAATAAATTATAATTTTATATGTTAAATTTTTTATTTATTATTACATTATTATGAATGTTAAAAAAAATTACGAGTATAAAAAAATTGTAACTCAATTATTTTCAATAAAGATAATTTATAATTCATATAAATTTATTAATAATAAAAAAAATTAAAAAATTATGATATTTTAAAAAATTAAATTATTATTTATATATTTTAAATAAAATTTATTATCATTTTTTAAAATTTTAATTCACTTGTCAGTAAATTTATAATAATTAATTTTTTTATATAAAATTTAAATGTAATCCTCCAAAAAAAAATTGAACTCGGAGGGAAAGGCAACGCGTGCAAATCCCGAATAGGGAAAGTTGCGAGTATGGACCCTGGAGGACCCGCCAATCGCCATTTGTGGTTTGACTGCCTTCTTCGACTTTGATCTCTTTCTCTGGACTGGGTATTGTCCTTTGGTACTTGCCTAACTTGTGACCAAAACATCAACTATGTTGACTGCGAAGGTAAGGTTCGACGTTGACATCCCAGTTTAGTTTTTATTCTTCAAAAAAATCTAAATTGAAAGTGAAAGTGAACAGCCTTGAAAAACAGCGTCTTATCATATTGCACTCAAATCTTCCAAATCCTTAACCGTTGAACCGAAAAGGAGACAATAAAATTATCCTATGATCTTCTTTCCCGGTAAAAGAAAAGTAAGTCCACATTAACTCGGTGACTCACAAACATTTCCAGTTATGTTAAACATTTTTGTTTACTTTTGATCAGTCCTGTCGATCAATTCTACCAACGTCTGTCTATTTTTAATCTATATAGGGATCTATTTGCAATTTGCAAATCTACGCAAGACTTGTCTAACTAATTAAACTGAGGTACTTGCATAAATGAATGTTGTTTATAATTTATAAACATAACAAGAAAAGGCAACAAGCTCACTTTTGAAAGGGATTTGAATTCTCTCTTTTATTGCTTGCCTTCGTATTAAATCATATCAGTTCATTTAATTATTTATTTACTTTGATAATGTAAAATTGCTAATTAATACATTAAAATAAATACATCATTTATTTAATAACAAGTATAAAGAACCGTTATGATTTTATTTTCAAAAGCACGCATTTAAATAATGATAATGATGATGAATAATATATTTATTTTAATATTATAATTAACAATCTTATACTGTTAAACAAAAAAAAATAATTAAATTGACGGATATAATTGAATATAAAAAGCAAAAATTGAGAAATGATGTGGAAAGGATTCAAATCTCCTCTGAACAAGGTCTCCTAATTGCCAGTTGAAAACACCGACGAATTGATAAAGACGAAGAACAAACGAAGTAACCCCGTCACTGCAGAGTTCGGCTTGCTTGATGCTTCTGTTCGGGAAAGGATGCGAGCGAGTAAGAAATGAACAATGAGATTTTAAAAGGCTACCCTTTTTTGTACCTTTTTCGTACCAAAAAAAAGGCCACCCTTCACTAACTCGTTAATTGGGACACGCACCGACTTCAATAAAAAGCCCATTGGGTCCATAAGATAACCCAATAGTTCACTAACCCACCGACGTCGGTGGAACAACAAATACATTTTAGACAAGTACCACCTCTATTTTAAATTATAAAATATTTTTAAATAAATTTTATTATCTTAAAATATAAAAAATTTTAAATAAATTAAGATTTAATTTAATATGCTAATTCTAATATTATTCTTTCTCTCTCTATAATTAATTTTCGTCTCTTTTTTTTTAATATATTAAATAATGGGTATTTTTTGAAATTTTTATTTTTACTTTAAAAATATAAGGTTGTTAAGTATACTTAATAAAATTTATTAATATATAAAATTTTATTTAAAATTATTTATAATTTAAAATGAAGGAGTAGCTTTGAATATAAATGTATTGATGAAAAGAAGAACAATACATTAATGGAGAATAAGAAATCCTCCGTGACCGTAATTCACAAATCCAATATATATTTGCTCTGATGTGAACATGTACGGGGCACCCCTAAGCAAATCACTAGCTAAAACCAAAAGGGATAGCTCTTCTAAAATGAAGATGCAGAGGAAGAAACATCCAATGAAAATCACTCACATTCTGTCAAACCATATATGATTATTAACTTAAAAAAAAAATCTGAATCTAACACAGAAAAGATATAGCCTTATACTAATTACTCGCATTTTGCCTAACCGTATGCAGAGGAAAAAACTTAAGCCTTGTGTTAACAGGCTACTTGAGGACTAAAATTAATGGAACTAGGTAAGAAGAAAACAATTGCTAGCTTCCAAAAAAAAAAAATCTGAATCCAAAGGTATTGCCTTGTACTAATTTTGCGGATGCAATGATAAAATAATTCAAATATAGAAGAGCACCTTATATTACATTAAAATAGTTTTAATATATAATTTTCAGACATATGAAAAAACTTCACGCTAGTACACACAGAACAACAAACAATCTAATATCTGAACTCAGTCTAATAAAATTGTTCATTACTTCTATACTATCCTAAGAAGATAGAAGGACTAAAGTGAGAAGCAAAAAATATAGCATATCCTTTTTGTAAATATTGTTGAATGATCTAAGCTATAGCTAAAAAAATTACTTCACATAACCCAAACTGATAAATCTATAGATTTATATGTTGCTTTTTGTTTTCTCATTCACCAAATCAAAATTTCACAAAAATGACTAGAATAAATGTGCTGAATTTGAATGATAAAGAAACAAGAATGAAATGATAGCAGACAATGTATTGCAAATACAAGAATGTATTGAACCTGATAGGGATGAAGACAAGGTTGAAGAAAGGGAAGAACTAACCTTGATGAGTAGAGGAATTGCAGCGAGAGCATGCGAGAGAAGAAGATGAAGCCACTAATGAAGATAGTACTTTGCCTGGGTTGGTCAAAGGTGGGGGTCTCTTGAGACGCGCTAAAACAAAAAATAAAGGAGAGTCAAAGCATGAAATAGGCAAGAGGAAAAGGGAGGGTTGATGTTGGGGAAAAAATTGCTTCCAAAATCTCTTCACTTTTAAAAATAAAAGTTGAAAGGAAGGTACAGTTTTCTTTTTTCTCATTTTTTTTCTATCTAAATAAGGGAAAAATTGTCTTCTTCTTGTGCTTTTTTTCCTCCCATATTTTCTTCCCAATCAAACAAAGTATAATGGAGAATTAATAATAAGGAAAATCACATTTGAATCCCATCCAAGCAAGCTGATATCAAAGAAATCCCTTCAATTTGCTCAATTACTTAAGTTAGTGGGATTAGGTGTTATTTCAAATGTATTTGAAAAGACAAAATCGTGGGGCGGGAACATCATTAGACAACCTCATATTGATTTTGGAAAACACACACACAGACTCGTTGAAATCGAGGTCAAAATCGTGCATGCAAGCGAGTTGCGATTTCAATATTTCATGCCTAATTGTGGTGAAAAAAGGCCCCAGCCGATTGGACACTATCACGCGAAGCGAGGGAAGGAAAAAGTAGCCCGGCCATTGAGACAAGACATAGCCCTTGTCCGTGTGAAACTATTTTATATATATCTATGTAATAGTTAATTAATTTCAAACAATAAAATGTTGGAAATGTTGCTCTTTCCAAAACACTAACATGGACACACTTACTTGATTAAATAATTTCATGATAAATGTTAGTCAATAGATACAAATTTATTTTAATTATAACTCCTTATCTTGTAATTAAAACTTTGATTACTAGCTTTAATTAAAACAAATTTAAGCAAATTCTTAGCATAATATAAAGCTATTAAGATGGAGTTATTTTTATTAAAATTAAACTAAAAATAAAAATTTAAATGAGTAGCGTGAAACATAGTTTGGGCAACAATAATTATAATATATAATATTATGATTTGAATTACATTTAAATAAATTTGTGTTATATATATATCACTGTAATCATATAAGTAGACAGTTTTTTGTGCATTATATGGATTGAAATTAAAAAAAATTAAAACACACATCATTAATATATTGATATCGACACATTTAAAATGATTAAATTTTTTTAGAGTTCCTCTATTGATTCATGAGTATGATTATGCATAGCATGAGTGTGCACATGAATATAATTGGCATGCTCATGACACTACAACTTCTCTTTATAGGTGAAAACTAATTTTGAATTGAAATGCCTTTTCTTACAATGCTTAATCGCAAATGGATCCACCATCAACATTTTTATGAAGGACACCATAGCAATGGACCCAATAAAAGGAAACTTGTGCTAAGGGTTGTCATTCAAGCAAAGCATAGTGAAGTCAAGCTTTTTAATTCTTCAAGAAGCACGTGGACTGACATTAGTCGAAAAGAGGTGCAAAACTCCTCCATCTCAACTGTCCAACTTTTTATATTTGACAACAAACTCGTTTAAGAGAATGTCTGACCAATACTCAATTGAGGCATATATGATCAAGAGATGCAAAAGATATTCCTGTACTCTCAAGTGGGATTTGATGACATGGGAAATAGTATAATTAATGCTTTCATAATAAGTGACTCAAGGAAAATTTGAAATAAAATTTAATGCTTTTATCTTGTGAAAAGATAAAAATTAATTAAAATAAATTAAATTCTGTCAACCAATAAAAAAATCAATCACATCAACTAATAAAATAATAATATTAATATTAGATTAAAATTAACTTGATTGTCTCATAAAAAGATAAAAATTAATTAAAATAAATTATAAAAATATTCAATCACATCAATCAATAAAAATAATAATATCAATATTAATATTAAATTAAAATTAAATTGATCATTCCCGAAAAGATAAAAATTTAATAAAAATAAATTAAATTCTATCAATCAATAAAAAAATATTTAATTATATCAACAAATAAAATAGTAATATTAATATTAGATTAAAATTAAAATAACTATATAAAAATTAATTGACCAATGGGAGAAGTGGGAGAGAAAACATTTATGATTAATCACCTTCATTTTATAAAATTTATAGATATATATTGATTATACATTTTAATAGCTATTTATCATATAAATAAATTCTTATAATGTTATAATACGAGTTTACTTTGCGAGCTTATGGATGGCTTTGACAATTTTGTATGCAAAGTGATCAATTGTCAATTTGTAAAAATAAAAAACCGATTAAACAACCTCAGTGGTAACCGGGTTTCTGTGCGACCGCCTTTGTGAGTGATGTCTAGAAGTTCAGTTTCTAGTAGTTTCTGAAGCTCCCAGTCTCAACTCTCAAGTCTCAGCAAGGTACAGTGTCACTTGGCGAACCCAGCAAAGCAAGGATGGCGCTGTGGATGGAAAAGGGTTCCGAGCCCTTGACCGAAAGCGAGAAAGCAGACCTTGATGCTATTGCTGCCCTGAAAGAGTCCGCTGCTATTGAACTCAAGGTTTTCCTTTCGCTCTTCATCTGTATTCTCTATCATCTTGTGTCTATAGAATTTGTAGTTAGCCCTCCATTATTACCAATGCCCTTGTCTTATAGAGATTTATTAGAAAGGATTCCTTTTTCCTTTTTTAATGACTAGCGACATCATTGATGCCTGCGTTAGTTGTATGGCTGCTGACTTTGTTGAGACGCATAAAAGCTTGAATCTTGTTTTTCAGTTTCCATGTATGGTAGGACTGTTTGTGTCAAGCTGTCAATCTTCTTAATTTCGTTGGAGCTGTGCTTGTTCAAGATTTTTTCTGCACCAACTGTCCTATTAAATTTCGAGATATTGAATGGTGGATTATTTATGCTCAGGAAACGATGTCCTGACCTTGGATGCATAACATTCATATATTTTTATCTTGCCTGATGAGATTGGTTTTACTTTAGAAGGGAGCATGAAATGTTTGTCAGAGATGACACGTCGTCCATAGATGAAAAATTAATTGTTTCTTTGGAGCATAGTTTCCATGCCGTAACAATAAAGAGGTTTATAATGTGAGCTAAGTTCCAGATAGACATTAGACTAGATGGTATAATCTTGCTTAGCCTGTTGCCTTGTTCATAAAAAAGACGGTCTAATCTTGCTTCAAGTTGTCCTGAGTAACTTTTTGAATACTGACAGCATTGTTTTGTCTTTTCCGTTTTCAATCTTCACTCTATCTTTTTACTTTTCACGATTTCACCTTTCTATTCACTTTTCAGGAAAAGGGCAATCAATATGTCAAAATGGGTAAAAAACATTATTCTAATGCTATTGATTGTTACACAAGGGCAATAAATCAGCAAGTCTTGAGCGACTCCGAGAACTCAGTCATTTTTGCAAATAGATCACATGTAAATTTGCTGCTAGGAAATTATAGACGAGCTCTAACAGATGCAGAGGAGGCAATTAAGTTGTGCCCATCAAATATAAAGGTGCTAGTTCTCTTATTTGCAACACTGCCTTCTGAAAAATTTTGTAAACTTATATTTATTCTCTGTACTTTTGAGCCAATGTCTTAAAGCAGTACTAATCCTGCTCAGGCAATTTATAGAGCTGCCAAAGCATCTTTTTCATTAAATTTGTTGGCTGAAGCACAATGCCATTGTCAAAACGGCCTTCAGTTGGATCCAAACAATGAAGACTTGAAGAAGCTTGGCCAGCAGATTGATTTAAAGAAAGCAGAGCAGGAAAAGCATGAAGCTGAATTATCCAAAGCTGTTGCAGAGACAAAGGTCATAATCTTGTCTGTAGTGCTTGACCTTTTATTAATTGAAGGCTCATTTTTTGTTTCAACACAACTTTGCAGGAACTAGTGTTGGCTATCGAGAATAGGGGCCTGAAGATTGGAAAGGCAGTGTTTCAAGAACTTACTGGACTTAAAAAACCAGTATTAGACAAAAACAATATTCTTCATTGGCCTGTTCTTCTCCTGTATGCAGAGGTTATGTCCAGTGACTTCATTGAAGATTTCTGTGAGACTGACATGTTTGCAGTTCATCTTGATATGATATCCTTTTCTATAAATTTCTTTGAATGCTTTATATCTGAATGAGTTTTATGCATGCATGCATCCATGCTTGTTACACCCTTAACTGCCAAACATGTTTGCAGAAGACCAGCCTTTGCCATGGGATGATAATAACAATTACAAACGTGAATTTATAGAATTATACTATGAGGTAAGCTCTCATTTGGAACTTTGTATGTATTGGGTTTGATTGCTTTCTTGACATTTAGCTGTACTTTTGTTTGGAATGCTTATTGATTCATGACTCATGAGTGTCTGGCACTCTTTGGTATGTTGAACTCCACATGTAGAAAGACCATATTAGGAAATAGGAATACCTTCACAATTGTAGTAGTTTAAAATGTGGCTCGTTAAAACAAAGGATATGTGGCTTCGAATTAAATGTTACCTTAGAGTGCACATGTTAGTGCTCATACCAGCTGTTTTGATTGCTGAGATGAGTAAGGTGGGAAAAATTGAAATAAATAAGTAAGTAAAAACTGATGTCAGGTACTTAATCTAGAAAGGACAATTGTTGCTTTTGCAAGCATTATGTAGCTAATAATTAAGACTGTAAGTTCCTACTCACTTTGGCTATGAACTTAATTCACTTTATGGAAATATACACCATATTTGACCCCCTTTTTCTTTTCAAAAAAGGTCATACGTATGACATTTTATAATAAAAGATTATTTACTTTTTCCCCCATCCATCGGACTTGGTAACATCAGGCTGGTTCTGGAGTCTGTCTCCCAAAGGCGAAGCTACTTCATTTTTTACTGGAGGGAACTGCAGCTTCTCGACATGAAAGTGTCAGTGATGAAGAGAAAGATGCAGTTCATGGCTCTAACCACGTTGACACGGGTATATTACTTTTGAAGTTGCTCCCCTCCTCTTTTGAAAATGATGTGATGATTTTGTCGCATATCCCATTGCCCTGCCCTCCTGTAGTGGTGGTTTATGTAGCCCTAGGGTTGTATAGCTTGGTTTCTAACGATGTGAAAAGTGAGGAAAGCATGCATTGCTTTAGATTTATGTTGAACAGGCTTTTGATTCATGATCTTTCTTAATCCTTAATTGCCTCAATGAACTCTTTTTATTATCCTAAATTTAGCTCTATGCAATGATAATTTGTCATATTTTGCTTAGAGACGTTCAGTTAATTTTGGCTGCAAATTTAAATCAGTTGTGGCTATATATATATATATATTTATGGACGTGTTTGTGTGGACTCCATTATTTTTAGCTGAACCATATAGGTTCCTCCTTGCTAGAGATGGGATCCAAATTCAATTCTGTGATAGGTATTTAATTGGACGCAATTCCTGAAAATAAGAACTATAATTGCTTGGGACATAGCACTGCTCTTTCAAAGATATGGCTTAATGAATGGCCTTGGTTTCTCTGTGTGGCATGAAATTATTTTTATGTGATCTCTGGTGGTGATCAGGCACTCCTAAATGGGTCAAAGTAAATGAAAGGACGACGCTTCATGATGTTCTGAAGGACCCCAATTTTATCATTCCTGGCATCCCAGGTGTCATATAATTCACTTAAACGCTTTTTTTTTTTTGGTCTTTCTCCCAATTATTCTGCCTAGAATTTCATCTAAGTTTACTGTGCACCCGCAGTATTCTTTGTTGTTTCAAAGCGATCCAGCTTTTACGGCAAGTTCAAAGCTGGAAAATGGACTCCTCCAAGCATATGAAGAGGCGGCAGCAAGCTTTTATTGAAGAAAGCGAATGGCTCGGGTTGAGTCTAAGCGCCCATCTTTGTTAAGGTTGGTTGTGACCTGCAAAATCTGACAATTGGTTGCATCCAACCATTGAAGGCACACAAGGTAGTTGCTCATGAAGTCATCATCGGATATTATGCAGTGCCTTGAAACTTGTTGAAAAAATTTATTTATGTCTTATTTTTAAACCCAAAAAACAAAAAAAAGGACTGAATTTTGCAACTGTTTTGTCAATGAGGGTTTAGGGCCATCTTTGTAATAAGATCTGTGCCAGACCAATAGGTTCAATGTATCATATTCTTTATTCTAGTAACAGTCCATCACAATTTATCAATTGATTTACTAGCTATGTTAAAAAAAGCCACCACATGATTCAATGGCTGTCAGTTATTCAGTTTCATAATAAACCTCATGACTGCAAAGTGCATTTGTGATGTAGAATCTTTTATTTTCGATATGAAAATAATTCGTGTCTTTCTTTCTATGTTTTTTTTTTGGTTGGGCAGAAATGAAGATTTCCTCACAATCTGTTACGGATTTTTCTTTTGGCCATAAAAGAATATGGAATTACTTTCACTATTCACAAGCATGATATGTGTGTGTGTGTGCAGCGGTAGATTATAATAATGGGAAAAATATAATAATTAGTTTTTATAATTTTATTAAGTTTTATTTGTAGTTTCTGTAATTTTTTTAATAATTTCAGCCTTTATAGTTTTCAAAATATTAGATGGTATTTATTTTTCATATTCTTATCATTTCAGTTTTTTCAATAGTTTTAGTTCATGTAAGAATTAAAAATGCTGAAAAAAATTATAAAAATTAAAAATAAAACTTGGTGAAATTATAGAAGTCAATGATTATATTTTTCCATTATAATAAGCTAAGTTTTATTTAATATTAGGTATCAGTTGATGGCTGGCCCAAAATTAAAAAGGAAAAATTACATACACGTTTTATGTAAAGAAATTAATTATTATAAAATTTATTAATAATTAAATTAAGGTCTTGTGTTATCAATAATTTTAGTTTAATTGTTATTGAATATTTGTGATAATTTTTGTGTGTAGAATTGAACGTAATTCTCTGTAATAAAAAAGTCAGTTTAATGATCGACGCGGGTGGCCCTCACATCGAATCCAAAGGATATGCCACTTGTTAAAAAAATTATATTTAATAGAGATGGATACCAACGAAAATATGAATTTAAACTATTCCCGCGTGTTTTATTTTTTTTTAACGGAATTGAGTTAGAGGAGGCCGCTGTGTATTCTAATTGAGTTCTAACAAAAATATTAAAAATAAAATTATCATAACATATGTTTCCAAATCATAAAATATTTTTAAATAAAATTTCAGTAAATATATTTTATAATTTTATTTTTTAAATAACAATATAAATTTTTAAAAATGCATTCATTTAATACACCATTTATGAAATAATACTATTAAAGAAAAATATGATAAAAAAGGTAATATTAAAAAATATCATTAATGAGATTTTATTTTTATCAAAACATCTTATATTTTGATATGTCAAATCTTTTTCAAAGGTATGGCATAATTTGAGACAAAGTGAGTAATTTGTTATCAAATATTTTATTACTCACACATGCGACGAAATTAACATATAATTAACATTATTATATATATATATATATATATATGGAATTTAAGGTAAGTTGAGTTTTGAAGATTTACTATAACCATAACCTGGCCTCTAAATTTAATAAGTGCTTAACAAAATATTTGCAAATTGTCCATTAATAAAGTCATTAAATTGAGAGCAAGAATTGAAATCATTAATTTATCAAAATCTTTATCAAATAGATCAGTCTTTATTAATAAAATTAATATTATTAATAAGTCAATTTTCACTAGAGCTGAATTGATAGGGCTGAGCCATATGGGCTCAAACTTATAAATTCGATTACTCCAAAATTGCATATTTTGTGAAGCTTGACCCTTAATTATAGGGTTTAAAGTCAAGCTTGAAACCCATTTTTTTAATTTTAAAAATTAAAATTTTCAATTATAATATCTTTTACTCTTTTTAAATACAAATTAAAATGTAAAAAAAATTAAAAATAAATAATATAAATTATAATTTTAAAGCATAAATATATATTTCAAAGTTTAAATTTAATTTTAAAATTAAAAATATTTTAATTTTTAGGGATAAAACTAAAACGGGCCTAAAACAAGTCGTTGGAGCCTGAATCTTTTTTTTAGGGTCTATCAGTGACGGCATCAAAACCTGTTTTTCCTAAAAAATTATCTTTCTTTTAAGCTCAAACCCCTATAAGATTAAGAACTGGATTAGATGAGTGGCTCATTAAGTTTAACATTTATTTCTTGTTTTAATTTTGATAAACTCGAGCAACTTCTTAACGGGAACGAGGTTCGACTTGGATTAGACGTTATATTTTGTGATTTGATTCAAATAAAGATTTTAAAAAATAATATAAACGGAGATTATGCCTATAATGAAGGCACAGGGAGAGAACAGATGACTGATTCGTTGGGGACAAATGGTCTGGGAGGCCTAGAAATTCAGTAATTGATCCGATAAGTTGGCCACTTACGTATCGGTGAAAGGATGCGCACCACTAAATGGTTTGGATTTACTGGCTTGAATCTCTTCATAGCCATGCGTTTCTTTATCTAGTAGACTAATCATGACAAAATATAAACAAATGAACCAATGAACCAATATTAAAGGCCTGTCTAATTCAAGATTCTAAATTCATCACCCCATGCATGTTCAATAATGACACTGTTTAGTCTTTTAATATATAATAATTATTATTTTTAAAATACTCTTAAGTCTTATTAAATAACGTACTTTATATTTATTTTATAATAAAATAACTTATTAAATATATAAAATATATGGTTTGTTTTAAGATAAACCACTATTTTATTAAAGGATAAAATTTGATTAAAAATAATTTATATTTTCAAACAAGTAGTACTGTATATGGAATCAAAAGTGCACTAAATATTAAAAAGGAAGATAAAATCAACTCACGGGATCTATATATTATAATATCTTAGCCATCAAATCATACAAAAACTTGATAGCTCAATCTCTACTTGTTAATACAGAATTATGCTCGTTATTAAGAATGCCATGTTATTCATTTATTTATTAAGAATGTAATGTTATAATATCAAAAAAAAAAAAAAGGGAGGAGAAGAAGAAGAAAGCATTAATGGCTTTGGATTTGAAGGAGTGCTCCATCCCAATTTTCTGCCACTGCCGTGGACCAAGTTTCATGACAGTTATGATTCAGTCCCACCATCACGCTGCTATTAATAAAGCCCATCAATTTCAAAGATTCCATCCATGCATCTTTGTCAGCCATTGAAATTCAATTCCATTCTGCTTCTTCTTCAGTGCAGAGAAACTCTCTCTCTCTCCCTCTCTCTCCCCCGCTCCCCCCCTGTGGAATCTATGCTTAGGACTCGCTCCCTTCACTAACAACACTCCAAAATAGTTGTCTTGCTCACAAATATTCTCGGACCTTTCTTCTGCACGCACCCACAAGCTCTTTCCATACTCTCTCAGCCATGACTACTCTCACGTGCTCCGCCGCTGATCTCCACTCTCTTCTTGCCAACGCAACCAACTCTTCCGCCGCAGCCGAATACATTTGTAACCGTTTCGAAGAGATTTCCAGCAAATTTGTTGATACCGCCTATGCTGTCGACAACACCTACCTTCTCTTTTCTGCCTATCTTGTGTTTGCGATGCAACTAGGCTTCGCCATGCTCTGTGCTGGCTCTGTGCGAGCCAAGAACACCATGAACATCATGCTCACCAATGTGCTTGATGCTGCGACTGGTGGCATTTTCTATTACCTTTTCGGATTCGCCTTGTCTTACGGATCGCCGTCAAATGGGTTAATCGGGCATCACTTTTTCGGCCTCGACCAGTTCCCTTCGCCATCTTTCGATTACGGGTATTTTCTCTTCCAGTGGGCGTTTGCCATCGCGGCAGCTGGAATCACCAGTGGCTCGATTGCAGAGAGAACCCAGTTCGTCGCCTATTTGATTTACTCATCATTCCTCACTGGATTGGTTTATCCCATAGTCTCTCATTGGTTCTGGTCTGCGGATGGTTGGGGAAGCCCTTCCCGGTCTGAAAATCTCTTATTCGGTTCCGGGGTCATCGATTTCGCAGGCTCCGGCGTCGTCCACTTGGTGGGCGCCGTCGCCGGCTTCTGGGGTGCTTTCATCGAAGGCCCACGTATAGGCAGATTCGATCATGAAGGAAAAGCTATAGCCATGCGAGGACACAGTGGAACTTTGGTTGTTTTGGGCACATTCTTGTTATGGTTCGGATGGTACGGATTCAACCCAGGATCCTTCCTTACAATCATGAAGACCTATAACGGTTCGGGCTCTTACTACGGGCAATGGAGTGCGATCGGGAGAACCGCCGTAACGACAACGCTGTCCGGTTGCGCGGCGGCGCTGACCACCCTGTTCGGCAAACGCCTTCTGAGTGACCATTGGAATGTGACGGACGTGTGCAATGGGCTGCTCGGAGGATTCGCAGCCATAACCTCTGGGTGCTCAGTGGTGGACCCATGGGCTGCGATCTTGTGTGGGTTTGTGGCAGCTTGGGTGCTCATTGGATGCAACGTTGTAGCAGAAAAGTTAAAGTACGATGACCCATTGGAGGCTGCACAGCTTCATGGAGGTTGCGGGGCATGGGGCATAATTTTCACAGCATTATTTGCAAGGAAAGAGTATGTGACCGAGGTGTATCCAGGGGTTGATGGTAGGCCATATGGGTTGTTCCTAGGAGGAGGTGGGAAGCTACTGGGAGCGCATATGGTTCAGATTTTGGTGACTGTGGCTTGGGTTAGTGTTACTATGGGAACGCTCTTCTTCTTGCTTCATAAATTGAAGCTTTTGAGGATCTCACCGGATGAGGAAATGGCTGGGTTGGATGTTACCAGCCACGGTGGATTGGCTTATGTGTATAATAACGAGGAGATCGAGCTAGCTCAAAAAGGTGCATTTGGGGCCATCAGGATGGGATCTTCGGCTGTTTAATTAGTTTCATTTTGGAAAACATCTTTTACTTCATTTGTCAAAATCAAAATAGTTTGTGACCATCAAATGCTAGGCTACCAGTCTTTCTTTTTTCGGTCATTCGACATTTTTTGATATTGCATTATTCAGCAGATAATTTGAAGATAAGGGCCCATGGTGTTATGATTTTGTTCGTTAGGCTACCGTAATTTTGGCTAGAGCTGATCCGCTAACGCCGTGTTTGGTTGGTCCGGAATTTTCTGGTACACTAATCGGAGGTTTTCATTTTTGGATTCTATTTCTTTAGCAATCCTCATTCCTCCCATGGAATTAAATACTTTCCTTTACTAAAATGCCCTTAATCTAGTTTCAATAATATAAGTTTTAAATATATTTTTTGCAAATTAAAATATTAACACCTCAATTTTTAAGAGTATAAAAAATGGTGTACAAATAATTGAATGGTTCATGGATCAATTTTCTTGAGTCTTGACACATCATCTGGAATTTATCAGCCATACATAGACCGCTTCGGATTGATTGGTTCCCTCGGTAGAGTTGTTCGGTCATTCAAGTTTCTTGATATTGCATTATCCCCTAGTAGACCCGGTGGTCTGCTTTACCTGACCTGACCACATTCTTGGCTGGTTCATAATAAATTCGTGTTTTGAAGTGCTGTATTGTAAACGTGCCAGACATTAAAAAAAAAATACGAATTCATTTTAAATATACGTGCTTCACAGCTTAGCGTGAACTCCTCCACTGCTGAGTGAACTTGGGCAGATAAAAATTATGGAGGAAACAAATTCACATGAACCAGGTCAAAATGCACCAGTCAACTCAAAATGATCCTCACACATATAACATGGCGTGATTCAGCAGAAAGTTGCTAGTTTGTCAGGAGATATAGGACACTGCCAATACAAGACACGACACGTTTTTAGGGCAGATATAAAACACGACGCTTACTTCAAGCATCATACGAGAAACGAAAGACATTTGCAACTTGAAAAGGCTCATCAAGATCATCTCATACATGCACCGCAAGCACACATCGGAGGCATCCCCCTTCATGCATGAGATCAAATGCCTTGTTGATCTCCGCAAGAGTTAAATTGTGGGTAATGTACTCATCGATCTTGATTTCCTGTAAAAACAAATGAAGCAGACAACATAGCACTCATGAATACTACTGCTACATACCACTCTAGGGCAAGGGTCGATGAAAACGAACAAGAATGGAAATCCATTACCTTCTTCAAGTACTTATCTACAAGCATGGGAACTTGTGACCGGCTCTTGAAGCCACCAAAAGCTGTTCCCTTCCAGACACGACCAGTCACCAACTGGAAAGGGCGGGTTGATATTTCTTGTCCTGATGCTGCAACACCCACAATAACTGATGTCCCCCAGCCCTGCGTTTTTTGATATGCAAATACATATCAACATTTACAAGAACCATATCATACCATTTGTGCTACAAAGTTGACCATGAAGTGGCGGCAGCTCTCACCTTATGACAACATTCCAAAGCAGCCCTCATCACGGAGACATTTCCAATGCACTCAAAACTATAGTCAACTCCACCATCTGTGCTATCAACTATGACCTGCTGAATTGGCTTCTCATGATCTTTTGGGTTGATAAATTCAGTGACGCCAAAGTTCTTTGCTGCAAGGAATTGTAGCAAAAAGAAGACAGATTTAAACATTTTTTAAAAGCCGCATATAACATGAAGAACCTCTTCTTTAGCATTGTCTAGTCCTTTAGTCAATTGAACAAGTGGACAGAAAATGTCGCACACAACAACTAGAACAAAGCGTTATTAGTCCACAGCTGAGAACAAATATCTTTAAAAGAAAATAGTATTCTCTTCTTCATCAGGAGGCTATGTCAAAAATTTTATTTTCAGACTATCAGACTGCCGGTGATGAGTCTATACATTGAAAACTGCACAGAATCAGAGGCATAAAATCAAGCAAGCTTATGATGTACCTATATCAAATTTTTTGCTGTCAATATCTATGCCAATGATCCGTGATGCGCCAGCAGTTTTTGCACCCTCTGCAACCTGTCAAGTGTAATCATTCATTACAATAGCAGATAAGAATCAGGCAAAAATACAGACAAATGCTTTGCCTTTTCATAAACTTACAGCAAGCCCAACAGTTCCAAGGCCAAATATAGCAACAATTGACCCTGGTTCCACTTTTGCAGTGTTCCAGACAGCTCCAAGACCTAAATAAATTTTGATTAGTTTTTGCCTACACTTTCTGAGATGTGTTACCATTAAGATAAACAAATAGAATAAATAATAACAAAAAATTGGGAATGAAATGGACTAATGGTTCTGACAACCAAATAAAGAAAACGCTTGTAACACCATTCCCTGTTGAAAAAAGTCAATTAAAAGAGCTTAACACCTATCATAGTTCTGGCAAAAATTGTGACTCCTCTGTAATTAAAATTTAATAACAATTATGCGCTTATTGCTGCATAGTCTTCTAACTGAACACTACAAAATTTGTAGTGTTAAAGTGAATACTTCATAAACTGCAAGTCAGCAACAGACTTTTTGATACATGAAGACTAAACCTTTCCATCATATCCTCCCACACAACATCTTTGAACATGTCTGAAACATCCTGAACTACTTTGGTGATTTATTTCAAACCATAAAAAATCAGTACCTTAAGTGCCAAAAATATAGCTGGTGGCATTTTTTTAAGAAATTAGTCTCCTTGTACAGCAGGGAGATTGTTATAGCAAGAAAATAAATCTATACAGGCAAATGCAAAGGCATTGCCACATTTCATAAATTCATCTGAAATTCTATGAAGACAGATAGCTGATACTCAAAATTCAGGAATGATAGGCTACAATTAACTATTTGCTAAATCTCAAAATATTTTTCTCCATTACAAAGTGAATGAACTAACTCTCCCACTACAGCAAGAAGTTTCTTATAGCAGAAAAAATAAATCTCCAATGCCACATTTCAAAAACATATTGGAAATTCTGCAAAGACAGATAATGACAATCAGAATTCAGAAACGACAGACTACTTCTGTATATTTGGTAACCCTCAAAATTTCCTCTAATAACAAAGCTAAGATACTTACCAGTTGGGACACCACATCCAAGAAGACAAACTTTATCTAAAGGAGCTTTTGAATCAATCTTAGCTACACTAACATCATGAACAACGGTGTATTGACTAAAGGTTGAGGTTCCCATAAAATGATAGATGGGCTTTCCATTAATAGAGAAACGACTCTTGCGATCACTCAGCATGACCCCGTTTCCAGTGGCAGAACGGACTTTGCCACAAAGGTTTGTTTTGCCAGATTTGCAAAACTTGCATTCTTTACATTCAGCCTGGTAACAGGGGATGACATGATCTCCAGGCTGAACTTCAGTAACACCTTCTCCAACACTTTCTACAATCCTGCGCCAAATTATAAATTCCAATAAGCAGTCAAGTCTGCCAATATATAAGTCTATATGTTGTAGATTAAACTCTATTTATCATTTACCCGGCAGCTTCATGACCCAGAATACATGGGAAGAGACCTTCAGGATCCTGTATATCAATTTAAGCAAATTTCATATAAGAATTTCATACGCTAATAACATGTGTAATGAGCTTCTTGCAGTGCAAATGGAAGGGGGGATATCTTTCTAAACTTTGACATGTTAAAGTATCTAAGACTATCCGCATGAATTGAATGGCCATAACACCGTAAAATTACGGATTAGAATTATTGAACATTGATTTCACAAAAAACTACCTGTTTCGGATAAATTTTGGGTACTACAGGACCTCGCACTGAGAACTAAAAATTTACCCATCAAAATGGTGGAATTCCAATTAGATAGAGTGCAGAAGGCTCCAGACTTAAATGCAATCAAACAAGTAAGATAAATTTAACATTGCAGGTCATTGCTTAATGCCAGAAAGGAATGACAATCCAAAGTATAGAAAATAAAGATTAATCTAGAGAGAGAGAAAAAAGTCCAGTAATGAATAAAGTTGGGTTAGTAGCTATTAACCTATCGGTACGGATATCGGATAGCTGAAGGCTAAATCTAAATTCGACCAGAATCATTTCATTTCGAACATCTAATTTTAACATCAGGATTCTGCCCAAAATCCGGTATTGATCATGCATTGGGTATTCATTAGTATTAGTTAGAAAACACACTTCCAAATTGCCATCAATTTTACTGATCGTACAGAGCGGAAAACAAAACTCAGGAATAATAAAAAGTCGGGAATCAAAATGAATATACCTTGCCGCTCCAAGTATAAGCATCAGTATGACAGAGAGCAGTGTAAAGAATCTTGACCCGAACCTCACCAGCCTGCGGTGGGGCCACCTGAACGTCTTCAATAGTCAATGGCTTGTTGGGTTCCCAGGCCACCGCAGCTTTTACAAAAGATTAACCCCAAAACCATGAACAGTGTAACCTTGTTAGGGGCTCTCCATTTCATGCAAAACAAAATGCATCTGCAAGCCGAATAGAATGAAGGAAGAAAGGGAGAGTACCTTTGCAGGTAATGACTTGACCCTGAGTAGCCATGAAAGCGATCGGAACCACAGAACAGGCACAAGATCAGACACAGACTGCGAGCTAGCGAGGTAACAATATCGATACCAGATAAAAGAAATGAATTTTACATGGGTATGGTCGGCCCTGGAACGTCGTGGCGATAATAACTTGGGCGTGACCCGAACCGATTTATATTTTCCGGGCTTACATTTGGACCGGTAAGCTTGGGCCGTACTTGTGTCCGTGAGCCGTCCATGGATTCAACAACTAGAATGGTTAATTGGGTTGTTCATTGTTCATAATTGAGGAAAAAAGTTTAATATTATGGAAGATAATTTATTTTTATAATTTTGTCCTTGTTCATAAATAATACTCACAATTTGATATACATAATTACTCAGTACATATTAGCCAATACAAGGATAAAAATGAAAAATATTTCTTAAAATTTTAAGATATCCTATATTTGAAACAATTAATAGCTTATAAAAAATTTCATGCATTGTAGATAGGAAGGAGAGCTACTTTACACGTGTCTGTTTTGATTGAACAATCAGAAGTCAAATCCCTCGAGTTTAATATATTATGGAGGCATTGATTTCGAGAACCGTAGGACCGTTGTTGTGAAGTTTGTTAGATGTGAAGAGCTTTTAATTAGAACGTTTATGGCAGGTTAAAAAAAAAAAAAAGAATAAGAAATTAGACTTCAGAGTTTTGAATGAACGTCACCGACAGAGATGATGACCTGGTAGAGTCCTCATATGGCTTCTACAAATAAGCTATGGCATGAGTACTCGGCGCCATCCACTTAAATATGTTAAATAAACAAAAGTTCTGGGAAATTATAGGACATGACGAAGTCAAAGCTGAGAATGTTTATAATATTAGTATAAATTTTTTCACTATCATTCACAATTCATAAATATCTTTTTAATTTATTATGTTGTAAGTGACTAGCTTTTTTTTCTAGACTCAATTTGTACCATTTAGAATACTACTATTTCATTTTATTAAAATTATGTACAATTTTTTCTCTAATTTCTTTTCATGCATAAATTTTTTTCAAAAATAAATAGAAAACCAATAATTTTTAAATTTCTGCTAAGATTGCGAAAAAATATATATCTATTTGTGGGCATGTTTGAATTATTTTTTAATATTTAATTTGATTTTAATTATTTTAAGAGTCTCATATCAATCTTTAAAATAGATCAACAGTATTCAAATCAAAAAATGCATCCATGTGTGTATATGCATGCATGCATATATTCAACACTATTACGCAAAAACCGATTTTAGTCATACATTTTTATATAACATTTCAATTTGGTATCTTAATTTTATAAAAATATCTTTTTAATCTTTTAATTTTGTTGGGGTTAGTCTCAAATAATAATTTTTATGCTAAATATTGTTACTTTTTAAAAAAATTAAATTTGATATGTTAACATTTGATAATATTTTTTTAACATTTAACAGATCAATATCAAATATTTTATTGATGAAATTAACAATATCAGCGTTAGAGAACTTAAAGAAGAAATTATTAAATTAATAGACTAAAATTATATCTTGTATGAAATTATATGATAAAAATAAACTGCAGTCGAATAGTATTCCGCATTAAGAAATCAAAATTGAGAGGGCTCACCAAATCCTGGAATACAATCATGTAACCTACTACACGACACACGACGAAAAAGATAATGGAAAGACGAAACTAAATTTTGCCTTCCGAAATGGGCTAGAGGACGTTGGACTCATATCCCCAAGAGGTCAAAGGGACATTAAATGAATTCGTTGAAAAAATGCACGGGGATACATACAGGACATGAATTGGATGGGTAAAATCTTAAAGAACGAGTATTCAATATGCTGAGAGGTACTTAACACATTTTCAATGTCCCTTATCCTCTTATATTCTAACGCTGCCAAAAGATTCCTTCCCCTTTCCCTTCTAAAATCCCACAGTGCATGTAGCTAGAGATCTTCTCTCATCACTTGTCTCCCTCCTCGGCCTTTTCCTATCACTGTCTTCCTCTTCTTCCTTTTCGTTCCATGGCTGCAGATTCCAATTCAAACCTCAGAATCGTCGTTGAAAGAAACCCTCCAGAGTCTCGCCTGGCTGAGCTCAACATCAAGTGCTGGCCCAAGTACGCCCTCTCTCTCTCTCTCTCTCTCTCTCTCTGTGTCTTCTGAATCGTAACCTGACTTTTTTTTTCTTTTGGTGGGGATGGATATTTTATTTATTGGGAACAAAAAAGATGGGGATGCTCTCCAGGGAAGTACCAGTTGAAGTTTGATGCAGAAGAGACATGCTATTTGTTGAAAGGGAAGGTGAAAGCATACCCAAAAGGGTCATCGCAGTTTGTAGAGTTTGGTGCCGGCGACCTTGTTATCATCCCAAAAGGACTTAGTTGCACTTGGGATGTCTCTCTTGCCGTTGATAAATACTACAAATTTGAGTCACCTTCTTCTTCTTCTTAGCGTTTTGGATCATGTTGTCAGTTGTAGATTTTCATTCATCGATCTATTCTTTGTCAAGTTCGTTCACAATTTTGTTAACTTGTGGTGGCTGTGCCTTCCCCTTGTTTCCGTTTGGTCGAGAATTGCCAGGGTGCGAGGGCAATTTTAGTCGAAGAAGGAGAAATCAATCAGTCAATGCAAATGTCCCATTCAAACCAATCTTATTTCCGTGTTAACAAGACAGCTTTTAATTCTTCTTTGACCGGTCAACGCTTTAGATTTTTTTTTTTAAATGAAAATTTAACATCTTGGGGCCAGAAGGACAGATTCCTCCTATTGCGGCAAATGATTTTAGAAACTCTTCTTAAACTGGAAAACTTCGATTCAAGACGCCCCCATTTTAGAGAGGCGGATAAATTAAAATGAGACTACATGTAAAATCCACTTCGCTTGATTCAGGACGGTGAATACGGTCATTTCCATTAAATCACCTCGTACCTCTTGCCGAAGACATTTTATTCTCCACAATTGCATACCATTCAACTAGAAAATTGCTTAGATTTGCGGCGCCCTTGCATATCATTAAAATTTCCATCCCAAGCCAAGTCAAGTAAAATTTTCCAAATCGTCCTGATTGAGCTATTTCTAACAAATCCTTTTGCAGAAGCAACCTATTGGTTAGAAACCGTGGTTCAAGTTATTTCCATGTTACTATAACACCCCCCCCCCCCAAAAAAAAAACAAATGTCTTCGTAAACAAGCAAATCAAACCTCATTCTAGAATATGTAAGCCAATCAAACCAATAAAAGACCATAGGAACCGGGAAAGCAGTAAGAGTAAGACGCTCGGTTGAAAGCAAAATACTGATGGATATTTTGGTTCAACAATAATAACTCATTTATTAATTATTATTCCCTTAAGTTTTTATTATAAAATACTTTCAATCATTTTAAATATTTTAAAAAAAATTAGTGTTTTTCTTAATATTATAAAAAAATGATATACACTTTCATTTATACCCTTAATTTTAAATAATAATATAACTATACTAAATACTTTTATGTTAATTAAGAATAGGTAAGATTTGAAAAAAAAAATAATTTCATTATTATAAAATGTTCTATATTTTAAACTAAAAATTACTTTTAAAAAATATCTTATAATTAAAATGGAAGGGAGTATGTTGTATGATGCAACGCAATGCCCTTAAAACACCTGCCTCAGAAGGTTGAGAACTTTCCTCACTCAACTGGAAACACATGCTTTCCTTTACCCCCCTTTTTTGACTATTGAACTTGTTTACATTAGATCCCCCGCCACACACACACTAAAAACAAAAACAGAAACAAAGAGAGAAAAGAGAGAAGCCTTTTGGTTGGAGAAAAGAGGGAATACAAACAAGTTAGCACGGGCCACATAAATATACAAACATGCAAAAACATGTAATATACATCTGCTGGTACTGGAGTGAAGCTCTAGCATTCTATTCCCTGTGCTCAGCATCGGATACGGAGTTAGGTTAGTGTAGATGATCATCAGCGGTGACAAGCTGTCAGCTGCAAGGGAATGAGAAACAATTAAAAAAAAAAAAAAAACTCTTACGCAGGAGAAAGCATTATACAAAAAATCTTGAAAGATCAAGCGAGGTATGTCTACATTTCACACCACTACAAATGCAACCAAAGCAAGAGTGAGGGAGGGCATTTGGAGTCTTCCACCTACCATCTTAGCAGTAAGGAATGGTGATGCTGAATTACTGAAGTATAAACTCCCATTATCTGTCCAAACCTACAATCGGACAATTACTTGATAAGGATAGATATGCAACGGGTCAATTATTGGGGCTTAACAACAAATCAATCGAAAGGAGTTGCCGCTAGTCAAAACAGTAATAAGATTATGGTACACACGATCCACTTTGATTCATCAAAATAAGAAAAAAAGAGGATTAAAGTATAGCATCTTCTTTTACTCGTCAATGAGTTTCTTCAGCCACTAGCTTAAATCACGGAAAAGCCAAATCACCTCATCCTCCTTCCCATCAACCCAAAAATAAGTCACCAAGCATTTCCGCAGAAAATCTAGGGAGATGCTGATAAGTATCAAGCAGTAAAATCATACTTCAAACCCAACTCAACTTTCTCCCGCCAAAAAAAAAATGAACAAATAAATCCTTCAATTTTTTTTCCAATTCGCCATCAGACAACAACCACACTTAATCAGAAACATCTAGTGGAGTTTTTGTCTTCATTTTCATTTCTATTTTTTTTTTTTTTGGGGGGTGGGGAGGGCAAAGAACATCGCATCAACATAATCTATCCCTCATCCTCAGATGAACTTAATTGCCAGTGGTATCCCATTTATCAAACCCCAAAAGGAAGGGAAAAACCAAACCAAACACAAATATCAATTTGCAGCTCTCCAATAAAATTAGGAAATCCAAAAATAATTAACACAAAACCTTCTTCATTGATTGAGTCCAACTTTGCTCTCTACAGAAGACATTTAACATGTGCCATTCACAGCAAGAGCACCATCACGCTGGAGCACCCTAAGCTTTCCTTCCTACAACCAAAACCCATACATTATTAACTGAAGATTGTTTAAAAAAATAATAATAATAAACCTTTGGTCACAAACAAAATCATACCTTTGTTCCATAAACAAGCCCACCGCCAGCAGAAGGATGAAAGCAGGCAACATTGACCTCATCCTCTGCACTAGGAAGAACACTAACAAGTTCCATGTCCAATACTCTATACACCTGGATCATAAAAGCATGCTTAGCCCTAAAATTCAGCTTTAAACACTCCTAACTACAAAAAGGGGTACATGCAATACCAACTAAAAATAATCAACAACCGGCACTGTATGAGTATAAAACCTTGTGACCACCCAAAATGATAATATAAATTTTATGCTATGGAAAATGTGTTAATTTCATAAACATTATAGAGTATGATAAGGGGTGAGACAGTTATTTCACAATGATGGGCAGCTGAGATGAGAAAACAACTTTGAGATCAAAAGGCATCTACCTCCAACACTGTATAAATTGGCAAGGTTGTTTCCCCGTCAATGACAATGCATTTAAGAAGAGAGGCATGGCGTCGACCATATGCAAGCAGTATGTGCTCAGATGTGGGCGAGAACTACACAAAAAGCAACAGTTGCACAAAATACAAATTCAATTCATGGGGACACTCTTTGTAATTAATCAAAGAAAAGGTCAGAATTAGGCCTGAATATGTCAGTAATATAACAGTTATCAAAACAGATAAAGTATGCTAGCTATTAGTAAAACTTTGACAACTTGTAATGCAAACGACTTTATTGCTTTATTTTGTGGTGCCCAAACTACAATGGGATGGATGGGGAAAAAGATAATTATATCTCTGATCTCTCAACTGTTGAAGTTGCACACGGGAGATTATACAGGAATAATTTAAGGTTGAAAGCAAAGTCTACTAAAACTGCTCAAGCGTTCAACTCATTGCTTATATTTCAAATACTATTTTATAATATAATTAAAAAACTGAACCATCAGCTGCAAAAATAAATCTGAAAAATAGAAAACTACTCCAGCAACACAATGAAGCAGGAGAGAAATACATCAGCCCTCAGTCGGTCATAATGACTTGTGAATACATCAAAATAAAATTTAAATTTACAGTATAAGTATTTAACTACCTGAATAGAAGTCAGACAATGTGCTGCTCTAATTGCTCGAGATGCAAGTACTGATCCAAATCTGTTCAGAAAAGCATGAATCATGCACTTATCTAAAACCAGATGGTGTCCCTTATACAGTAAGTGAGTGAAAGTGAGAAAGTTGAAGAGCGCTTAGAAACTCTAGTTAAGGAATTCTTCAGGGGGCAGAAAAAGAAGGTAGAGGAAGTAAGCCCTACGTTGCCTTCTCCAGGGAATATATCCGAAGCTCATACATGACTTGGTGTGCTGAGATTGGATGTCGAGTTGGTGATGTTGCAGCTCCATGTTCCTGGTGTGCTAGTGCTTGTAAACCTGAATCAGCTTCAGTATGAGGAGCCATACAAGCAACACAAGCAGCTAAAAACCTACCACACGGTGAGAAATGGGCCCCCATTTCACTGCAAACACAATTGCATTAGAGTACAACTTGATCAAATCACTCCAAATATTTTTGAAATTTTGGAGAAATTTTTTTTTTTCCATGAAGTAATCTGATTCACAACCTTTCCCAAAAAAAAAAAAAAAATCAACTCACTGGAGGTGGGAAAAAGCAAAATTTTTTCAGAGATGAATAAAACCTTATTGATTACATCATTAAGCAACAACATAAATTACAATTATACCTGCAGAGGACTGCATGTGGTACGGTTAGACAGTGACTATCATCACTAAGGGAGGCACAAGGATTTTGTATATCATATGACCAAATTCTTAGCTTCACAGTGCAAGGCAACTCTGCAGAAGCAGCAGCTGCCATTGACGTAGCAAGTTCAGACTGGATCCGACTTGCAATGGTTTGGATATCAATCCTATCCTGCAGCTTATTAACTGAAGCAACATAATTCCCATATTCAGATTCTGGTACATGGGAATGTGGGAAATCATTCTGTAAACCTGATCTCACAGAAGCTCCAGGTATGGTGATGCTGTCTCGTTTTGCTTCCTCAACTTTATTAGTGGACAGATTAGATGGCAGAATGGAAGAACCAATTTGTTGAGCTAGACTGTCACAACTACCACCCATGTGAGAAAGCATAGAGGGAACGCCAACTAGGCTTTGCCCCATTAACAATCCTTGAAGAAATGGTAGCTCCCACCCACAGGAGTCTCTTGAAGGGACAAACCGGAGAAATTGACTTAATTCTGAAAGAACCTCTTGATTTCCAGCTTGTCTAGTTAGTCCATGCTGTCTACCACTAAAAGAATGGACCTTAGTTGAGGATCCATGTTTTGATCCTTCAGATGGTTCTGTTTCATCAATAGCCATGCCATCCATTTTCAGGTTAGTGATGCCAGTTCTCATTCTATTAGAGAAAGTATCATGGGCAGCATACTCTGTATTAGTTTGAGAGCCAGATGGAATTTCAGAGCATATATCCATGGGAGACACTGTAACATCATTTTGCTCTGTTAAATTTGTGTCTGCTTGATTATCCCGCTGTAGTTCCAATCTTGAGTCGCCCATAGAATATGAAGGCATGAAGAAGAAAGGTGACATGAAGGGTGGTTCACTGGAGAAATTAACATGTTCCCTAGAATGAACATTTGTTACAAAAACAGCGGGTGGAGGATATTGTAAATAACCAAGGGACGTTGCTTTTGTCATGATGGAATCTGAAGAGTCAATATCATTGACCTGCACATCAATCCAGCAATATAGATTAAAAAAATTCCAACATAATATTTTAAATATCATTAGTAGATAATCACTTTTGTTCATTTACCTCAGCAGTTAAAAGATATGGTGCAGCATGCGGGTGGAAATGAACAGCCCGAAGTGAACGCCTTGTCTTCAACACCAATGTTGGTGAGGAAGCTTCACCTCTCTTGTCGTAGGGCCACATGTACAACTGACACAATATTTAAGAAAAATGTCAGAGGATCTGCACAAAAATATCACCAGAAATGAATCAGATTAAAGGATTTAACAAGGCAGGTTCTTAGCAAGATCAATGCCTTATGGCCTGATGCGACAGCAAGTATTTCCCCATTTGCATGGAAAGCAACAGATGCAATGGGGCGATCTGCAACAACATACCCAATAGATTCAATTAGGAGTAATGATATGAACAAAAGAACCGTAAACAAATTCAGTAAAAGTTGGAAAAGTGATTCAGTATAAAAGCGATAGGAAGTAAAATTACAGAAACGGTAAAAAAATAGGCACTTTGACGTGTCAACATCCCATAAGCAAACTTCTTGATCCAAGCTCCCACTAGCTAGTATTTGTGAGTGTAGTGGATGGAACCTAACCTGTAACCCATTGTCACAATTAAAATTGCAAAATATGAAGTGGCAACACGTTCTGACCACAGTGTTCACTTTGATGACACAAAATAAGTTCCTATAAGATAAAAATGCTCGCAAAGTGAGAGAGTTGAGCATACATAAGTCAGAACGAACAGCGTATCAAACAATGCACATGCATCTCACTGGAAATTAACAAATCCTTTGACAATAATTAACATGCACAACTAGCATTGACTAACATATCTATGATATCAAATTTGAAGAAAAGGCCTCGTTATTGGATAAAAGTTTTCTCTTGCACGCATTATCACACAAAAACTACCTGAATAACCAATGAATCATGATTAAGTCATAAGTCGCAAATACAGTGACAAACAACATTAAGCGTTACCCATGTATCAAAGTTCTTTGGGTAAAAGCATTTCATCTTTGAGAAGCAGTTTATTAATGCTTCATTAAACTTTCAACAATAACAAGTCTTATTCAAGCTTCATTATATTTTGTTGCATAAAAAATCAGTTGTCTTGGGCTCTTGATGATTTTATTTATGCATATAATACAAACAAAACACTGAGAAGCATGTGTATGAATACAATCAACTACTTAAACCTGAGATTGGGTGGAAGGCAGAAGCCAAAGCCTAAGAACCAGGTGAATCAAGGGTGGAAGACAGAGCACCAAACCAATACATAAGTTTATCTTAACCCCTAATTCGCAAATAATTAACAATATCTTTTCTACCCTCTTCTCAGTCTACATACTATTGTGTGGGGATTGATAAAAAGATAATTATGTTTACTCGATTCCTGGGTAATTGTCACCTCCTCAGAGTGTGTCTAATCGAACTAAAGGACTATATAATCAGTATTACAAGTGAAAAAAAAAAAAATCAGAAATTAGTGCAAACATGAAGATTCAAGCTTACCACCCAAGGCGTCCTCCTATGACCTGTTAACACCTTCAAGCACCTCCCAGTTTCACAATCAATTACCTTTACAGTGTGGTCACCACTGCATAAGCCAACAAGAACCAGAACTCAACCGCAGAAGATAGTCTTTAGATCAAATGCGGACAAGGCAGAAGGAGAATAAAGTCACAACTTACTGTGTTGATGCAAGCACTTTTCCATCTGAACTAAATGCTGCAGCGATAGTAGACCGTGGGGGAGGCAATAAAGAGCAGTACTTAGCAGATAAGTGCCGTAACGACTCTGCCTCAACCCTGAAAATCAAATTTATAAATATTTCAGAGCAATATTTTTTCTCTGAAGAAAGAGAAAACGTAAATTTGTCACTTGCATAAGTACCATGAGAGAAGACCACGTCTTGCATCCTCACTGCTTCATTTTTAGGACGAGAGGGAGAACCAGATTTTAACCCACACATTTCTCCCCGATCTCGTTTAAGAACATGTTTTGTGCTGAGCGAAATCTCTCTCCGTGCTAGCAAACTAACTACGTTTCTACCCCTGAAAAAATTCAACACATTGAATGAGTGAAAGCACTGCAAGAACTATATATGAATTCGGAGGAAAGGATGAAAGTTTTGTAGGCATTAAAAAGATTATGAATTATCAGCTTCTACATCTATGACCAATCACCATGGCAAGCATAGCTATGAGCTGGAGAACTATTCAATCAACGTGTATGGGATCAATCCCTACCATGCCTCCTGTTCCTACTCCCTACACCATATGCAATGCAACTCCTATGTAGCACACGCATGCACCCCTAAAAACAAGCAAAAACCAGAACTGGCACAATGCGTCGGAGTTTACAAACAGCCGTTAAGTATGTTTCCCTGAATGAACCTTCCTGCATGTCTTCTTCGTGTCCTCCATAATGAGACAAATGGGAAATTGAAGTCCAGATTGCACAAAACGCTCAAACACCACCAATAAAATTTTTTTTTTTAGAGATCAAAACGATGAAAATATAATAGATTATCGGGTCCGACCACTCTGACCTGCTGTTGGAGTTGCGGGAAGATGAAGATGAGAACAGGGTCTGATCATGAGACCCAGGGAAGTCCGTCATTTCTGTCGATTTCATTGAGATTAACAACAGAAATTGGAATCTGAGAGAGTTACCGGAGGGGAGGGGATGCTAATTCCTAAATCCTAACATCTGAAAGCATGATTCGTCTCGAAGAGACTAGCCTCTCCTCTCTCTCTCCCTCCCTCCCTCCTCCAGAGGGTGCTTAGGGAGTTCAATTCAGCCTCCTTGTCTGATTTCGGATCGGTCACCGTGCAACACCTTTCCGGGGAGTCAAGGTTTGATCTATTTTGGGATGAAATGTGATACTAGGGAGTTTTAGGGGAAACGCGACGCAAATAACGAGCATTTTGAAGGTCGAGGAGTAGCCGGCAAACAGCATGCTCTTGCGGGCCGGATTTTGACCTAGAAAGAAACACTTTGACGCGTTGGCCCAGTTTCCACGGGTCAAGTTTGGTGATGTGGATAAACCAAAAAACAAAAAAAAAAAAAACGCAAATGATGGTTCTTTTTAGCTTGCCAATAACGCCTTGTGATATGACTAGGTTCGAGCTAGGAGTGCACATAAGCAGGATTGAATTGAGTAAGATTTTGCTCGATGCCTAGATTAAAGAATGAATGGGCTATAAAATGTAGCCGATATCCAACCCTGTTTGCAAAAATGTCTTATTAGTTTAGATTGGGCAAAATTAGTTGGGCAACTTTGGGTCACCCAACCCATCAAATAATTACCCTGCTTATAAAATAACAACTCTTCTCATCATTTTAAAATAAAACTATCACAAATCAACAATAATAACCCTATATATTAACTCAAAATAGCATTCATAAAATCATAAACCATAAATTCACAATAATGACCACAATATTCAATTATCCAAAATTTAACATTTAACTTGAAATCTAAAACTACCATAAGTCTTGACATAATATCAAATTATTCATAATTCAATCTAAAATAACAGCTATAATTCAAAATAACAAAAGCTTGGAGCATCATATGAGAAACAATAATTTTAAAGAGTAGGCTCTAATTCACAAAAAGCCTCTTTTCAATTCCCAACTTGCATGAATAAAAGAGAAAAAATATGTCATAACTAAATAGAAAAATTGCAAGAACATACATGAAAATTTAAAGCAAAATGAGAATCAAAATATGAGAGAATTAACAACAATAATATATAAGTTTGCTAAAAAAATTAGCAAGGAATCATAGGAAAGTTAGCAAGAAATTAATTGAAAAATTAACAAAAAAATCATAGAAAATTGGGCTGGGCTAAACATCCAAGGCTGTATGCTTGCCTACTGCCTAGCCCTGCCCGTACATTGCCTAGCCCAAACATGTACAGAACATTTCGAACTTTTTTTTGGGCCGGGCTGGGCAAAAAATATTCAGGTTCGAGCGGGCAAATCAGGCAATCGAACATCATGAACACTCCTAATTCGAGCATGATAGGATTCTTATTCTCCCAGTGCCACCTTATAGGAAATTAGACGATGGGTTCTTTAATAGGTTAATACAGGCCTTTACATCGTAAACTCATTTTATCAGGGAAAGGATTCGCTGCATCATGTAAATGGGATGTGAATATCCTTAATACAAATGTAAATGCATGCTTAATATACACCAGAAGCCATCTTATTGGCCACATTTCACCCGAGCTCACATTTTTTTGAATGATTTTTATCATCTAAATTTATTTTGTTTTTTAGTTTTAATTGTCTCCTATTTTTATTTTTTATTTGTAATTATAATCCAAGTTAACTGGAAATTGTTCTCGTGCAACTGTGACAATATTAAAAGGATTAAGTGATATTTTCATTCCTAAATTGTTTCACATTGAATACCAATTACCTTAAATTATTTATTAGAGCAATATCATTTTTCAAGCACAAAAATCATTATAGTGTTGCTATTTGATCAATGGACATTGTAAACTATTAATTCAATATTGACTCTAATTTAAATTTTTAAATTATTCACGAAAAAGTACTTGACACATATAGTTTAGTGGTACAGGATGGATGCATTTTAGTTTAAAATGTCACATGTCTTGCTGAATATTTACATGTCAAAAAAGTTATGGTGATCTATTGGTGATTAATTGTTTGTGTTGTCGTGGTTTATATAAGTATTTGTTAATCTTTTTTCATTTGTATCAATAAATTATTGGCTGGAAGGAAAAGGTGGTATCCATATCCTCCTCCTATGTTTTAAGCCAAGGCATTTTTTATAACATAAAGAGTATATTTCGTCAATAAAAAATATAAATACTATCATTTTTTGAAATACTGGTAATAGAGAGCAGATCTCCAACAACTGAGTTGTTACATACACAAGTGCAATGTAGGTTGAGAGTTCTTCTCCTAACATGTGCATGATTAGCAAGTCATAATAAGTTTATGTGTGTCACATAACTTGCTAGTTGATCATTGATTAAAATTATACTGACAAACCTCTTTTTTAACAATGAACACCAATTTAGCAAGACACAAGAGATCCTCTGAACCTGATGCCGCATGTCTTGACAAGAAAAAATATAAGCCATCAATGGCTCCATATTATTAAATTTTACTGCAATGGTTACTCTTCCATGGAAATTCTAAAGACAAAATATTATTTAACCCAAGTCAATCAACTTAGAACCAACTATCAACATCAATGTTTATCAATCCGAGGGCAATGTCACAATAATTTTATCACGCGAAAGGCAATGCTAATCCTATTATTAATATTAAAGAAATGATTTGAGAATTGTCTAAACTAAAGAAATTTCCCCCGACTGTGGATATTGGCCAGTCTTTATTAATCCAATTTGGCCCAGTTAGATGTAAATGTCATGAGTTCAGGCCAATTACAAAAACGCTTAAATCAAATCATGCTCTTCTTCCCCATTCATACTGTCAATTTTTTTTTCCCAACACAATTCAAGGCGCCTATTGTTAGAAATAAAAAGTGACTGTCTAGAAATATAAGAGATAATAAATGGATAAAAGTAGCAAAATGACATCATATCTTTATTCAAAATCTTAAAATTTGAATTCATGAGTTATTTATTTTTATTTCATATTAATATTTAACTCTATTTGAGATAGGACTTTTCATATTGGCTCAAGTACAAGATTAATTCCATTTGGGACTTTAAATGTGCATGTAAACCAACTTTTTCTAAGTTTTAGGTGAATTCAAGCTCTAATACCACTTACTTTAAATAAGAAGTGACCATTTGCAAAAGTAGAAGTCGGGAAATGGGCAAGCATGGCCGAACGACATTACATCTTAATCCAAAACCTTAATATTATAGTTTATGTGCTTTTTTTAATTTTATATTAATTATTAAACTTAATTTTATTCAATGTAAAATTTTTCATGTTATCTTAAGCTTAGTTTTTAGGTTTTAAATGATATGATGCACATGAATCCTTGCTTAAAATGGAGAGTAACTGCTTAAAGAGATAAAGAGGACAAATAATTAAAAGCAGCAGAAGGATATCATATCTTAATTCAAAACATTAAAGCATAAGTTTGTGAGTAATTTCTTCTTATTTTATATTAATTATTAAACTAAACTTTATTCAAAATGAAGTAGTCATTTATACTTACACTGCATAACACCTAACTATATTCTCATCTGCAGTTAAATTAAACATGCACGCATAGACACTTAACTCGTGGAAAGGATAACACACACTAAGCTTCCTTCAACAGAATTTACTGAACAGTTTTATTTTATTCTTATATTTGGAGTATACTATAGCATATCCCAACATAAAAGTCGCGCTATAATTTAGTTTTGACATCCTCTAGCGAAATACGCGTTATCACCTTATTTTTTGCTATTAGATTTAATTAAAACAAGTCACACCTTTTTCTAGAGAACATGTTTAAAATGAATATATTTTTTATTTTTATTCGTGAATGAATATAAAACAAAATGTAAATCTATTTATCTATCTTAAAAAACACCAAGAAAACAAACTTTAAAATGTAAATCAAACTATACATTTTAAAATAAAATTAATACCATCATTATCTACATATTATCATTAAAATTAATATTAACATACAATATAAAATAAAATTATGCATTCTAAAATAAAAATTAATACTATCAAAAGTTGCATGGTTTATTGTTTAATTTTAATAAAATCTTGCAAGGTCTGCTTCTCGGAGAAAAGAACAGCACTTTCCAGACATTTCATATCAAAAGAAAATAACTCCAAATTTATTTAACAAACAAACTAGTCCCACCACTTTCAAATGTTTCCGAGAAACCATCAGCTCATTGGATCGCACACTTCCTCGCTTGCGTTCCAAAACGGCCACAGGGAAAAGAACGTTCCGCAATGTCGACATTAAACGGCCCCTAATTTGTCGTTTCATGAATCCGTTTCCCTCACGCTCCCCCACTTTGCGTGTACTAGACATTAGTCATCACTCATCATCAATACCCCAAAAACTGTATATGCATCCTGACTGCATCAACTCTCCCGCATTTAAGTCCCTCACCACCCTCTCCCTACTTTTCCTTTTCTGCTTCATTCACTGTCTCTCTCCCCCCACCGTCCGTTTCCGCACTTCGTTATCTTACCTTGGCCTCCATTTTCGTTCTTTCTTTAACCTCACTTTCTGCGTTTCTCCTACTATCTCGAGACGTACTTGTTTGTTGTTGTGTACCTACATCTTTCTGCTTGCCAAGATCTTCTCCCGCATTCCATGGATCTAGAATCCGAACCGCGCGCATTGTTGCATCTATCTTCTTATCTGTATTCTCTCTCCTAGGGTTTTAGACCATATGCTTCTTCTTCACTCCAACGAAACTTTGCAGCTATGACATATCTTCCTCCTGGCTGGCAATGCCACCGCGAAGAGGCTGATTGCTGGAGACCGCTTTGCTGGGATTTTAGAAGTTGCTGGGTTTACACAGCATATTTAGCTAGTTCGAAGTTGTTTGTTTCTGAAAATGGTTCTCTGTGAATCCTGGTTCGGCAAGAGAAAATGCCAACTTTGATCGTCTTCCTCCTTGTTCTTCTTAACTTGC